AAAGTACGATGAATCAGAGGCGATGAATCGGCGTGTAGTGGAGGCGCGCGAGAAGATTCTTGGACCAGACCACCCGGACACCCTAACGAGTGTCAACAACCTAGCCATTGTGCTAAAATCCCAAGGAAAATACGATGAATCAGAGGCGATGCACCGGCGAGAGCTGGAGGGTTGCGAGAAGTTTCTTGGACCAGACCACCCAGACACCCTAATAAGTGTTATCAACTTCGCTAGCGTTCTTCAAAGCCAATGAAAATACAAGGAATCTGAGACGATGAACCGGCGTGCACTCGAGGGGTGCAGGATGATTCTTGGGCCAGACCATCCCATTACCAAACTAAGTGCCAACAACCTAGATGCGGTGCTACAACTCCAAGGAATGTGTAATTCCGTGACGGTTGAGCAGCGTTCAGGGCCGACACCACCAGGAAACCCCGTGGATACGTGGCCACAATTTGGTCGCCATATTGTCAGTTATTTGCGCGGGGGAGAGTAGTCTTCCGCGGGGGAGGCAGCTCGGCATAGCGGCCATCACACCATAGGCAGTTTGACTGTTGAGGGTCACCGCTGCTCGCAGGAATATTTTCGGGAGTATTGTGGTCCTCCGACTTCAAGATTTTTGTATTTCTTTTGTGTTTCGTCTATGTTTTATGCTGTTTGGGGGTATTTGATAGTGAGAGGGAATCAGTTAGTATTACTTGGAGCGTTTCGGTTTCTTGTGGCTCCAAGATATCTGCCGGAAGCGCGAAGCAAAGGAGCCTGGGCTACTAGGAGATCGGTGATTTGAGGTTCAGCAGTGTGATACCGAGACTGGTTGAGGAGGAAGTTTAATCCGAATTTGTTATCCTAGTATCGCCAACCGGGGGATATAGCTGGAAAAGGAGCTAGACTCATATCCGGAAGAAGAGGTGTTATGGAGAAACTATGTCTTTGCGAGGAGAGAGCCATGTTTTGTATATAAACTGCTACTCTGCCGGCTAAATGGATAGCAGGTAAAAAAGGTGCCTGAACAGCAAAGAATGAAAAGCCCTCTATTTTCTTCACTTCTACACCTCTCATCCCGCTCCCATGGGCTACCCATTTCAATAGGCTAGGCTAGCTGTGATAGGAGTGGGCTACTGCTACTACTAGCACCAACGAGCGGGAGAGACTGTAGTGCTCTATAGGGGGTAACAACGGCAGACCGTGCAGGACTAGGAAGAATGACAAGTTAGAGATGCCATGAGTGGCGAGCTCTTGGATGTAGTGCGGTACGAGGGCAGTGTTGGGCATCTTTGGTATTTCAAATTCTATCCCCCCTTCCTCTTTTAGGGATAGGAAGTAATATATTCTTATACTTTCTCACCCCATAATCTTCTGGGGGTCAGCTCCTCGACTCTCCGGAATCATGTGGAGTCACTCGTCCGTTATCATCTAGGTGGTTTAGTAACCCGACAGGCCAAAACACACCAAAAGTGACGGTTTTCGAACTATTATTACACAACCACCATGAGCAGAAACGGCGTGGGGGAGAAATCTTTCAAAAAGCAATCTGCTACGATAGTACACACATAAAAAAGAGCAGGATTTTCTCCCTTTCATCCAGAGTTTTGAGGTGTGGAATGTTCATCCCTGTGGGGTACCCGACAGGACGAAGGTTTTTGTATGGGAAAAGTACTCGCTCGTTCGTTTGTTATGCGGACAGTTTGTGCCCCTAACCTTCCCATACCACACGGAAGAAAAAAAAGCATGCCCTCTTGGGAAAAAAAAGGGAAAGATTCTCACCCACTCAATTACCCCTTCATGTCCTAAATATACTCTTAATAGGCAATTATTTAGTGGTTTTCACTTTCTTCACCGTGGAGGGTTAGAATCAGGTGTTGTAATATAAAGTCAGAGATGGGTGGGTTCGAGTTGTAGACTGTCCGCACACTAAATGAACGGGCTAGAACATCGCAATAAACCTTACCCAGTTCATGTGCCCACAGTCCTCTACAAACAAGAGAAAAATAATAATAATCTAAAACAAATGTATATTATACTTCAGACATGTCCAATTTTTAATTTTTTCTTCCCCAAAGCAGAGTTTTTGGATATCTGTGGAGTGTTTGTGACTTGAAAACCCTGCAAATTGGTGTATTCTGGCCTCTGCCCGGTTACTAAACGCCCTCTAGTGTCATTCAACCAGGCATTATAGGTGCCACAATACAATTATAAGCTACCTGCCTACCCCCCCCCCCCCCAAATGTACTGCCTGGCTCCTAGGCATGGTTTGAATGGAGTGGAATCAATCAGGACCACTCCACTCTCTCATCTGAAATTAACCCAGTTGGGCACGCGTGGGTTGAAGCTAATGGTAGTTGGAAGTCCAAGCTGCTCCCCACACCTGCCCGGTACCTTTCCCCTTCCCCTCCTCATTTCCTTTCCTCCCCTCTTCCCATTCCCTTATCCCCCCTTCCTTTCTCTTACCCCGTAGTTTGCTAGTCTGTTCCCTTTGCTTTTCGGGAGAGCGCTTCGAGAGCGTACGGTGGTGGAGTGCGAGAGAGCAGGAAAGCATGGGAGAGCGCGCGGCGGAGGAGCGCAAGAAGGAGCGCTGGAAAGTGCCGGAATGCGCACGGCGGTGGAGTGCCGCGTGCGAGAGTACGGGAAAGCGCGCGGCGGAAGAGCGCAGGGAAACAGAGCGCCGGGGGAGCACGATGGAAATACTCTCAGAGGGAGAGCACGGCGGAAAGGCGAAAGCGCGGGAGCGCACCGAGAGAGAAGCAGCGCGGGAAAGCGCACAGGAGTGCGGAAAAGGGCGGCGAAGGGCGCACGGCAGGAGTGTTGAGTTTGTTCTTTCTTTGTTAGCTTTTCTTGTTTGCTCAGAGGATGCGGGAGACGTACCTATATGGGGGGGGAGGCCTGAGTTTGTCACTTTCCTTTGTTTGTGTGTTTGCTCGGGAGATGAATAGGAGGACGTACCTGGGGGGGGAGACTTTGTGGTTTGTTGGCGTCGCTTGTGGAAGATATATTCTCCTATGTTAGCCGTTAGTTAGTTGAGCGCGCGATAGTTAGGGGAGCGGTTGAGAGAAAGAAAAAAGAGAAAAGCTTTGCTGTAGTTAGTTTAGCTGCGAATGTTATGATATTAAATGTGAATTGTGTGATCCTTACCTGTGAGTGATCTGGGCGTTTCGTTTCACAGCCGGTCACCCGGCTAGATCTCCGATTGGCTCGTTGTGCCAGATCCCTGTTCGCTCGCCGTTGCCGGGGCCGTTGCTACCGCCGTTCCACCGCTCGTTCAAAAATGTTAACTTCATAAACTGTGTCCCGATGTCTTGGGCACCGGGGGCTGTTCTGATAAAGCATGTAATTGGTTTGGTTAGATTTTATCACTTATATGGGATATTGTACCAGATAGCATTGGGGTTTTCCAGGAGTCGGCACCTTCTACGGTGACTGCTGTGATAGAAGTTAAGGAGTGGTATACAAAATACTAGGATCTAGAATGGTGTTCTATATTTAATCCTTTCTCTCTGGACTGTAACTTTCAGAATTGTTTATCACCGTTTTCGGATTGCCCAACTTACACAATCCCAATACCCTACAGGTATGGGAACGGA